AATATTAGCATTATGAAAAAAAGCAAATTTACATTTGCATATTATGTAATTTTACTTAAAAAAGAAAAGTAATGCGCGTATTTAGACATGAGCATTTAAATATTTCGCATAATTACAATCGACATTAATACAATTAGGTGATTGAGCGAAAGTGTTGCATAATTTTGAGATCCACGAAAGTGACGATTTCACATATATAAAGTAACTGTGAAAGTAACTATTAAATTATAGTTACTAGTCACTTAAAAGATTTAAGTTAAGTTACAGTTACACATGGAAAGAAAGTGACGAAGTTGAGTTACAATTATTGAAAAAAAGTAACTGCACAACTGTAACTTCGTTACAAGTGACGAGTTACTTCCCAGCCCTGTAATAAATTTCATTCCACGTTATCCTGAGTTAAACAAAATTCTTGTGTTAGTACATGTGTTAGTCCGATTCCGATTGTATACAGTTCCCGGTCAATGACCAAGGCAGGCCGCACGCGTATACCAATTTGAAGTCGTAATAACCTCGAGTAGCCCAGTTCCACGGCGGAGGCGCGGTCCCGGTGCTCGGGATTACGAAATCGCTGCATAATAAACGAGTGCTTGGCCCGCCTCGTTATTAAAATGCCGACATCGGCGACGAAGCGCGCGGCCGCGGCCGCCGGCGCGATGCGGCGCGGAGGAAACCGCAGCATCTCAAGTGCACGCTATACTGCACTTGCCTAATCGCGCGACCGCAAACAGCAACAGTTACCGCGTTCGCGTCGCGGACCGCCTGCGCGGAGTGTTACACGAATTTCGCACGACAATTGCGCGGCAAATGCGGGAGAGGCAGAGCGGACGCGCGCCGCGGCCTGACGTTTTCTTCGAGAGTTACGCGCAAATTATGGATATCCTAACACACCGAGAGTAGACGCCGAGAGTAACGTCGTCGAGAGGATTTCGAAAGAGTGCGCGCAGCGGCGCGGCGGCCGAGAGACGAGCGCCGACGAGAGGCAGGGGGAGCGGGTGTTAATTAACGCGTAATTAGTAACGGCGTGTTAATTTGATTTGTGCGACGTGACGGGGGCCCCAACTAGATCGGGAATATCTCGTGTACCTGCACGTACACGGCGCGTTCGCGCCAAATTCGTGCGGAAACGAAACGGTGGGAGGGGGGGGGGAATGCAAGACGCGCGCATGAATCTCCGCGACTCGCACGCGTCTCACGAAACCGCAACGATTAGACCGTTCGTCGCACACAAGTAGTTTAATGATATCGGCGTAGGTATCAATTACATATTGCGTGTGCACAGCGATTACGTTGACCAGAAACGTAATTTTCTCGGATATAATAAGCGCGGCCACTTATCAACGACGCGCGATTTCCATTCAACCTTAACCCTCAACTGTATATATGTATATATAGATGTGGAGTCTGAGACTTCTGCCACTTACTTTATTACGTTCTCCTCCTGCAGAAAAAATAAAATTAGATTTTGCGCAGAATTTAATGTTAAGAAATACAAGAGAATGCAGCAGGAAGCGGTAAACAAAATAGAGAGCAATTACTTCTATTTCGCCTTTTTTCAATGTAAAAAAGTAAAAGTCCCGTTAAAATTCTACTATGTAATGTAATCTACTTGTGTCCACAATTACGAGAGTAATTAACCGATTAAACATGCCGCTCTTGCAAATACGACTCTTTGTTGTATTTTTTTCTTTTTTCACACTCGAGAATACCTCGCGCTACGAAACGCATATCGCTATGCGAGATTCTCATCCGAAATCAGATTATATCTTAACGGGTTTATCTTGCCATCGCACTCTCGTGCATGTGTTTGTAATTTTTATTTGATTAAACCTAATTGGAATCTCCGCGACTTGACGCAATCGAGTCCAATTCCCTGACATTATCACAACGGAAATTTCTCTCCCATACTTATTTTCATAATTTAATGTATCCATCGTGAGACTCGAGAAAATCTCTTCGCATATACGCGCGTCGATTGCAATGTAAAATATACTAAAGGGTCCTCGGTTCACAAAAGGTTCGACAAGGAATGAGATTTGCGAAATCCGCGTGTCGAGAACGCATGATCGAATCGAAGATGCGAAGGAGCAAACATTTTTATAATTAGAATTCTGCGGAGATAAGTATCTCCAGCCGCGGCCAGTCCAATTATATAGAAGTAAAATCCCGCGGGAGATAAAAAATTTAGATACTAAAGGGTCGTCGATTCTCCAAAGATTCGCGGAATGAGATTTGTGAAATCCGCGTGTCGAAAACGCATGGAATCGAAGACGCGAAGGAGCAAACAATTTTCATAATTAGAATTCTACGGAGATTAAGTATCTCTGGCCGCGGCCTAGCTGCAGTCCAAATATGGAGGTAAAATCCCGGAGAGATTAACAATTTTTCGCAGCCTTATCGATAATCAAGCGGGACGAGCGAACGTATATACATGTATATATACAGAAGGGGAAAAGCACACCAATTTATCTGATTTATCGATCGGCTGAGAGATAAATCCCGCGACAGGCCCCGCGATGCGTGCGTATATGTTCTACCGTGAAACACGTGTAAAAGCGAGCGCATGCTCGCCGCCGGTATACCTCTCCTATAATGCACGTTCCTCTAGCCGGCGCGGTGCGCGACTTTCACCTTTCACCTTGCTCAAGCACGATTCCACTGTTGACTCCGCGATCTTTTATCCCACCGCGCGGCGCCATCGGCCCCATCGGATGGATGCATCGGAATCGTATATATACATATACGGGGCGCGCGGGTAGCAACCGAAGGCGGCCGCCGCGCGTCACGATTCGGTTTCACTGGCCGGATCCCGGCTGGCGTAAAACTAAGGCGATGGAAAGCATCTCGCCTCTCCGTATCCGTGCAGCATCCTCGCGCGCACGGCGCATCGCATGCTCTTTCCCAGCATCGGGTTTATATACCTATATACAGCATCGGTTTAACCGAGAGAGTGACCGTTTAGATTTCAAGTTCGTGTAACGAGATAATGAGACGCTCGTTTAGGCCCGGGTTTAGGAAGGGGTGAGGGGGCGGGGGACCTGGGAGGAAAAGTTCATTAAACCGAGGAGAAGTCGTGCGGAGAATCTGCATTTCGTAATGCCGCAAACGAGTAATTATCTGTCAAGTCGTGCGGATGATTGAATATCACAATACCGGTGCATGTGTGTGTGTGTGTGTGTGTACGTGTGCGGTATCGCCGCCGCAATTATCGTATCCCAGTAATTATTTTAATACAATGATTATATCATCGCGCATGAATCGGAATTGTTATTTGTTCATTGTAATCGCGCATTTGACTAAATTAAATATTAAAATTTTAATTAGATCACAATCGATAATACTGTCTATTTTATTCATACGTTAAATTATAAATTTTATTCATGCGAGAGAAAGAGAGAGAGAGAGAGGAGGGGGGGGGGAGGGACGGGAGAGAGTCTACAAATTTTCATCTATAATAAATATATTTTATTTGTTTGTTTACGCGACATCGTACGAGAGAAACGCGCGACTAAAGCAACCTGGGACTAAATTTACGATGATCCCGGACGCTGTAATATTATACTGAAGACCACACCGTGAAAGAATGTCGTCTTACGTACGCAAAAGAAAGCAGCGACATCCGGATGACCAAACAGAAAAAAAAAAGATACGAGATTATAAGTGCTCGTGAACATACCCGTAAATTATCCCAGCTAGATGGTCTAGGAATTATGAGACATGTGAGACGAGACAGCGCGCGATTACCTATGCCGCGCGGCCGTAATCCGTCCTGACGAAACACGACGCGTTAACGCACAGCGCGCGGCGGCAGCAGCACGTGAGAAGTGGCGAACAATAATGGAAATACGACGGCTCCAAATTAAAAGATATTTAGCGATCGCGATCCGAGATTAAGGAACGAGCGCGCCGTTAAACTCGCGCGCTAAATTTTCCGCTAAACCTCTGTCGTAATAATTGCCCGCGCCGCGGTTTCTTCCCTCTTTATCTTATTTTTCTCTCTCTCTCTCTCTCTCTCTCTCTCTACGACGATTAATTTCGCCATGTTCGCCGGGGACCTTGGAGGATCGCGTCCATTCCCAGCCAACTGCATACAAGCTCGGCGGCGGCGGGACGATTATCCGTGTAAAGTCATCGCGTTGCCGAAATAATACGCAGCCTTGCCCGCAATTACATGGTTCTAATCCGTGCAAGAGAGAAGGATGGAATTTCCATTCGCGGATACGGAACCTTGGATATTCCAGCGGGCAATTACGGTCCAATTAGAAAACCGCGCCGCGGGTATCCCTCGGCGATGCTACTTTCGAAATTCGCGATGGGGATAGTATACGTACGCGTCGCGCGGGGCCAGCTGGGGCCGCGCGCAACTCGATCACGGCGGTTCCGAGGCACGCACGTGGAGACCTTGAAGAAACACCTAACGCGCGCGCGTGCTTAAACGTATAGATACACATAACTGTGTAAACAGTGATTTTCATAACCGTCAACGTAAAAGTTTTTCATTTGTACGCGTCTAAGAGAACCACGCGGAAGAGCCCAGACCTTGGGGAGAAATCATATACACGCGCGCGCGCTCCTCTTCTCGTGATAAGTCATCTCGCTTGCACGGTGACGTCAACTGTCAAAAGCTACGATCACGGTCATAGATTTCATAATGATCACTTTCTACTTTCGACCGGAGGGAGGAGGGGAGGGGAAGGGGGGAGACCAGCGTTCTATACCGCCATCCGCGCGGACTCATCATCATCATCATCATCATCATCATCCTTGGGTGAACCCCCCCCCCTCCCCTCGTATTCCACGGCGTTGCAACGCGCGAGTCAATGACACTTAACCCTCGTGGCGTATCGTAAGACGATTTCGCGGCGGTTATTTCCATCGAAGAAATTCCGCCCGCGAAATCGAGAGTGCATAGGTATATTGACACGCGACGAGATGCGGGGAGAGAGAAGGAGAGATGTGAGGTGCTGTCATTAACTGAAGTAAAAATTTACAGGCCAAGGATGAGGCTGATCGCGGCGATTCTCGTCGTCGCTCTCTCGGGTGCAGCTGCGGTGTCCGGCCAAGACCTCGGCGGTCACGCGCTCTTCGTGAGAACCGCGGACGCGGATCCCGGTAAGAAAAAAAAAAAAAAGATATGCGAGAGGACTCTCCTGCAGGAGTCCGCGCTCCTCGGAGCGCGTTCGCGGCGAAGGCGCGAGAAGCGCCACACGTATACAGTGGCGTTAATTGTGGTGATATAAATGCGAAATTGATCACAAACGAATGGTTTAAAATTCATTAGCACGCTCGAGAGTCCAACGGGCTGCTACCACGGTATCGCCGGCAGACATGATGGCGCACAATATCCTAGAGTGGATTCAAGGGCTCTACCAGCAGGGCACACGTAAAAGTAGGTTTCCGAGTTTCGTCGTCGTCGTCGTCGTCGTCGTCGTCGTCAGCGGCGGCGGGAAGAATGGGGCGATAGGAGGCCGCGCAAATTAACGAGTATTCCTTTCTTCTTCTCACGATGATGGAATTTATAATCGTTGTCTAACGTACGTTGCGCGCTGATTTATAGACAGTTCAGTGCCGCTGATGGTCGGAGATGGACGCTATTATACGGACACGGACGTATATATATTGAGCAAAAGAAAGGCTGCAATTATGCGCAGCCGATATTATATCGCCGCACCGATTTAGACGTTAGACGCACAAAATTTATTAATCCACGAGCTCGCCGCGCTATTAATCAATCATTTTAACGTGGCATTTGGCCGTCACGGAAGTAGAGCTTTATGTTCGACGCTGATGGAATTGGCTTTGATGCACGCTTGTCGCGACCGACTATAAATCGTTCCCTCCTATGAAGCACTGTTAAGTTAATGCACTCTTAATTAACTCTTCAATATGTACTTACTCTTTTCTTTCATCTCCTCTTTTTAATTAAAATTCAAAGAAATTGATGAACGTGTATAAAACTGATGGATATTCACAGCACGTCGAATGATATATCGATAACTTCAATGAAATAGTATCTACATTTTTGAAAATTTTGGACGATTACTTTGTCCAATTCTATTTTGTCAATAATAAATTTCAAAACAGCATGATAATTTTAATCCATAAAGTTCTTATTTCTTGTAATTTTGACACATTCATTTAGATTAAAAATAGAAAAATTTTGAATAGAGAATGTCTATCATACGAGTGACCATTTTGAGAAGTTGAGTTTCGCGGTACTTTATACAATACACTTCATTGATGCCATCGTTGCGTTTCACGGAAACTACCGCTAACGGATTCTCACTCTTGAGTCCACGTATTTTTGCAGTTCGCCAGCAATCGGACTCGAACGGTTACTTGCCGCCCTACAGCACTCAACGGCCGCCTGAGAAACCGCGACCTTTCCAGGCGGCCACGGGTTCTCAGCAGAATGACGTAACGGGCTACCCCGCGCAGCGGCCGTCGTCGCAGTACACCCCACCGGACCTCGGCGGTTACCCGTCCGGGCAACCCTCGACGCCGTTCTCCACTCCGAGACCGAGCCAGCAGCCCTCGTCGACGTACGTGCCGCAGGGCTTCAGGGGCTCCACGTCCTACAACCCGCCCCGGCCGAGTCAGCCCTCGTACAGCAACGCGGGCTCGTCGGCTTTCCCGCCGCTGATCTCCCCGGAATCGTCGTCCACTTACCTTCCGCCGCAGCCGCCGTCATCGACCATCAGCCCGAGACCGTCCCCTTCCGAATCCATGATCGGTAAGTCCCTCTCTTTGGCGTCCAAATTTCCGAAAACACTCTGAAAGAACTCTTTAAGTAGACCCACTATAACAATAAGTAGCGCGTCAAGTGAAATGAATTTCGTACATCAAATCAACCGGAAGAGATTACCGGGATTCATGCCATCCGACTGTCTCCTTCAGGAGTCTCAGGACCCTCAGGACCAACCCCGACAAGAGGCTATCCTAGTACAGGTTTCCCCAGCTCGGGGGCGGGATTTACGCCTTCGACAGCTGGATATCAAACCACCGGAAGACCATTCCCTCCCTTTACTACACCAGGTGAAACTGGCGTGAGTGCTGGTGGTAGTGCGGGTACCACAGGAGAAGGCCCTGGAATTTCAACTGCAAGTGGTACTGCTACTGGTGTTTCAACTACTGGTACTGGAGGTATGTATTCTGTTTTTATACAGTCAATATAATATAAACGGCACACAGAAATAATTTGATTTTTCATTGTTCAGAGGTCACTCAAACTGTGGAAGATCTTAGTCATCCCCCGCATATCCATAGTCTTGATGTCGAATGCAGTAAAACAATGATGACGATCAATATCGAATTCAATCGCGCTTACGACGGCATTATTTATTCTAAGGTGAGCACGAAAAAAAAACGAAAATAAAATCATCTCTTGTATGTACAAAAAAATCACCGGGAATAATGTATCGATTTTGGTCCAATTTCAGGGATATTTCATGAATCCGGAATGCACGTACGTAAGACAGAATTCCGGCTCGACGCAGTATTCTTTCACTGTGAATCTGGACTCCTGCGGAACGCAATTCATCAACGATTTCGAGGGCGAAGCTGGTCAAGCGTATCTGGAAAACGTCCTCGTATTGCAAGTCGGTGTCGAAATAACTAAATTTATTTGCTTGATTTTCCACGGATTTTATTTGTTACACTTAGCTCGTAGAAGAAAAAAAAATAAAATCACGTGATCGAAAAAATATGATTATTAGACTTTGAAATAAAAAATTCTTATTGCTAAAGAACGAACCGGGTATACAAGAAGTCTGGGACACAGTTCGAAGAGTGCGATGCCTCTGGGAAGGGAACATCAATAAGGCTCTAACGGTGAATCTCTCAGTAGATATGTTGAACCAGGAGATAGTTACCTTCAGTGGCGATACCGCGACAGCCAAACTGGATATCCAAATCGGCAAAGGACCTTTCGCACCCGCGGCCGACGGACTCGTAAAGATCGGAGAAACAATGACCTTAGTGGTCTCCGTGGAGGGCGATCCTGGTTTCGATCTTCAGGTACGCCATCGAAAATCATCTTAACACGCGTAATAATTCATACAATAGTATTACTCCAACATGAAAAAGAGTGCGTACAGATTTTTAATTTCATTGATTCAATGAATGAACAAGAAATAATTATTTTTCGACGCGTTCTACTTTCATTTTTAAGATCAACAGAATTTTAAGATTGATTGAGCAAATAAGAAATAAAAATATTTATAATTACTTTCTCAAGGTGCGCGACTGTCTGGCGCGGGACGAAGCCTCGACCAACATGCTGCAGCTTACCGACGAAAGGGGCTGCATCTTAAAACCGAAGCTGTTCGGTGCCTTCCAAAAGACAAACGATACCGGCAATACGGGCGCATCTATTATCGCTTACGCTTTCTTCCAAGCCTTCAAATTCCCCGACGTTATGGATCTCTTCATCGAATGTAATGTCGAACTGTGTAAAACTAATTGCGAACCTTGTCCGGAAGCAAATCAAGTAAGTAAAAATCAAATAATATATATAATATTCGATAAAATTATACTTATCATTATATTCGCTGAAATTGACAATTGCACGACGTATCCTAAAATCGTCATTTTTTTAATATGACAACTCAAAAATTTTTCATACGAAAATTCATCAAACATTTCGAAATAAATTATTCTAAATTTTACGCAATTCTTCATTTAGCGAGATAAGTCGTGCCAGAAAAGCTTTACACATTTTTTTTATACAGTTACACATTTTTTTCACACGTTACATCTAAAATAATCTGTTTTAGCAAATTGAGCCCGGAAGACGTCGTCGATCGGTAACATATGCTCCGCCGTCGAGCAACACGACGAACGCGGTTCTGTTGTCGGATCCGGTTCGTGTTGGACGGCGTTTCAAAGTGATCATGTTAGACGACTTGAGCGCAGCATCCAGCCAGATCCTCGACAGTATGGAGGAAACGGCGGTCGAGGCGATGATAAAAGCGAAAGAGGTCTGCATGAGCAACAGTGGATTTTACACGACCTTCTCTCTCATGTTAAGCACACTCTTCGTCGCGACCATAAGCGCGGCTGTGCTATATGTTAAATTACAACGGATCCGCAATCCGAAATTCGTGGATTCGTAGGATTATGGTATTGTTCTTGCAATCTCTTTATCGAAACAATACCAGCTGAAGGAAGTTGCGTGGAGAACAACAAACGCGTGCCAGTAATCAAATAATAACTTAAACGATAAGAGCTATTGTTTCCATCGCTTCGTAATTATTCAATCGCGGAGGAATTGCTGAAGAAAAAACGTATATTACGGAATTTGAAACAACTGTTATTAATAGTTGATATGAGAGCAGAAACTTTTTCCTACGTATATTGCTTCTAAATATTTATAAATAAATTCTTATAAAACATTACTTTCGTCCAAACGTAGGAAATTTATTCTGCTCGGATAACAGAACACACAGAGAGAGAAGCCATATATAATTTACATATCAATTTATAAATATATCTAACAAACTATTCGTGCAAGTCCTCGAATGACGATAGTGCTCATTTTGCGTAATGCTTTGAATACCGATACGATATGGTATTTATTGCGATTTCAATGTCAGCAATGATAATGTAAATCTTAAGTATTTGAAAAATAAATTATGATATTTGTAAAAAAAGACATGGCCTCTTTTTTATCATCTCCTTCCTTAAACAATCACTGCTAAAGACATAATAATAAAAATATACATGGACAAGGAATTATATTATTGTTTTAAGCAATATACTTATAATTATGTCTATAATAATAATAATAATTAAATAGTATACATAAATTTACAAATAACATAAATCATATTATAGTTATTTACAAAAAGTGCATGATTCAAATAAATGTATCTTACTCCACCTATAATTTTACAAATTGTACAGATATTACACAAATATTAATTAAATCTAGCATGATAAATAATATAAACGACGATGTCTTTATCTTTATAGAATGAAAAAAATTTTTTATGTTTTTTTTTCTGTAGATGTTATATCCCTCCCGTGTGATATCAACTTCTCATTTCTTGATTTTACGAAATCGTAAAACATACAAATTCTCTCCTATTATTTTTCGATTGCGAACAATTTCACCAGACATATTTAATTTTCGAAAAACACTTATGATATATTCAGGATCGTTTTCCTTAATAACAACTAAATAAAACAATCCTGTATCTGACAAAATTTTGGGAATCGTAGGGAATACCTGTTCCATAACTTGCCGCCCATTTTTACCGCCCGCCCAAGTCTTGGATACAAGTCTATCATCTAATAGCTCCTCATCTTCTGTAACTACATACGGGGGATTAAATAAAATAATGTCAAATGTATACTTGATTTGTATACAATCTAATAAATTCATTTGGAGAACATCTACATTGACCGAGTTAGTCAGACTAGTTCCTCTTGTAACCCGACACGCGTCAGGATTTATATCAATGGCAATACAGTGAACGTTATGTTTCTTTAATGCCATTGCCAGAGCCGTGATAATTATACCGGATCCACTGCCTATCTCCAAACAAATTTTTGGTTTTATCGCACGCAACATCTCTAAATCTGCTTCCAAGGCGTCTATCAAAAGATGCGAATCCTCACGAGGCTCGTAAACTGTCTCACGCTCCTCGTCAGTCAGTTTAACTAACGGGGTCTCCATAATTCCATAAGAAAAAATGTAACAAATTCTTATATAAAACTTATAAATAATTGTTTAGCAACAATTTGGTCGTAATATCCCGTAATATACGTTTAATAATAACGCTACTTATATTTATTATTGCTGCTTATCAGTCTCCGCTTTAGCTGGCTCTTCTTTGTCCGCTTCGACGCTGGTGCTGCTGTACGCGGAACTATTATCTAAGAGCGTCTTTCGTTTGGCAGTGCTCTTCTCGACAGCTTGATGCACCTTGTTCAAGCGCTCTTGGGTGGTCTGCAAAATGTTGCTAACAATGGTGATCTTATGCTTGGCGTTAACAAGCTTCTTCACGTAGGAATCTGTGTCCAGCGGATACTGCAGGGCTTCGTTGATCTTCTGAAGCTCCTCCGTTAAGGATTCAATCCGTTGCTTCAGCTCAATTTGGCATATCCTGTACAGAAGAGAGATGTATAAGCCAATGAATTCTCGATTTTTGCACGCAACATATAGGATCTCTTTTCTATTCCTGCGCCTAAACTACACTAGAAGTTTCTTTCTCGCTTTTGCCAAGTGTTAAACATATACCTATTTCACGTTAAGCGCAAAAAAAGTATACACATAGAAAACAAATCATATATCTGAACTAGATGTCTCACACTCTTTGCACTTAAAGCGAAATAGATATATTATAGATTTGATATTTGGCAAAAGCGAGAAAGGACGTTCCAGTGTTTTTGAGCAAGAATGAAAACAGATCTAAGGAATGACAAATGAACAAATGAATAAAGATAAATGTTATTTCATTTGATCAGCTATGTTTTAGGAATGTGCGATCAATACTGTATTGCATTATTCTTTGTTTTATTTTAACATTCCAAAACGTTGCTTTCGAGGAAAATTTTACTAAAAAGCTATACAGTTTACATTATGTGTATTATAGATTTTTAATAAAACTTTACTCGAAAGCAACATTTTAGAATATAGTCTTAACTCAGATAACCAAGTGTCTCAGCAAAATTGTACAAATCTGTAATTACTTATGATGCAACTTACTGTATACTTGTCTTCGACTATTCTGATATTAAAACACGCAGGCAACAATATTACATACCTAACCTATGTACAGCCAGCAATTTAACTGTTAAGATAGCAGCATCGATGTAATATCTCGCATTTAGCAATACAGCATTATAACCTTGAAAATTATTATATAGCAACTCAACAGCAACAGCACAACTTGATAATATATAAGCAAATTGTGTTGCTAGTAAAGGTTGTCATCATATAAGATAATTATCCCTATTAATGTGCCTGTCCCGCGCTTTTATATTTAAATCAGTCATAAAAATAAACTGGTACAAATAAATAAACAAAGTATTTTTTTTATTAAGTCAATACTTTAATTTAATAAAAAAAAATAGGGACAGTTACCCTAGGCGTCAATTTGCTAACAAATGTGGACACAATTGCTGTAATTTAGTAGCAACATATATATATATACACATAATTGCAAGCAACATGCTAGTACAGACACGTAATTACTACTTAGATAATAAACACAATAAAGACAGATCGACGCTGATAGCGTGCTCCTTAAACGTTATGTCCCGCGAAAGAATGCAGAAACAACAAATGCCCAAAATGCGACCGCGAAATGAAAGAGACGTTTCTGACTCGGCACGTTAGTGCATGCGCCCTGCAACTTTTCTCGCGAACGAGAAAGTCGTGATTACCTTGTAGCGCGAATTCTATCATCCAGTTGATCCACCGTGGGTTTCAGGAGGCTCATGAGACCCTCTGTCAACGCATCTCGAGTAGGATTTTCACAAAAGTCATCTATCTTGTCGTCGATGGACGTATTGTCACTCGCTGTATCAATGTCCATGTTGCGACTGTTCATTGTACGAGTGTACGACACTACGACGTGAGGTTAGAATGGTTAGGTTAGGTTAGATGCGGACAGCACAGTAGACGGAGCGAGCAAAGGTGAGAGGGCGAGACGGGTCACGGGCGAGACGCACCCATAAAATAAATCTCATATGGCTCGAATGGTCACATCGCTCAGCGATTAATTCGCGTCCGCTCTTCGAAATATGTTGATTTCGATGATTTTCAACAGAGGATGGAAAGTTATCTTTTCAATTACTTTGCTATAGTTATTGATTTTTAAAAGTAACTTACGTTACCGTTATTTAAAAAGTAATACTTAATAATAAGTAAAGCAATGATTCGTTACTTTTCCATTACTTTTTAAATGTTGAAACATGATCAGTTTAAGTAATTTACTTTTGCAATTTTTTTTGTTTTAATATTAATATAAAAGCAATGACAGACCGATATGTAAAAATTCTACAAACTATAGTACGCACCAATTAAATTTTTGATTTTGAAACGCATATATATGTTATCCGGCTGATATTTTTCACAATAAATTTTTCACAGTATTATTTGAATTAAGATATTAATGTAAATATTACCTATTAAATTACAAATTACAATTGTTAATTTAATTTGCGATTGATTGGTTTATGCGGCATTCTTAAGACGTCATAAACCAATTACAAAGCCGTGTTAACATCTTAAGACATTATTTAAAACAGTTTTGAAATAAAAACAAAACTACATATATGAATCCTAGCTGAAAATTATACATACGAAAATTATATATTATAGGTTTAATTTAAAATGCAAAAATAATTTGTTACCGAAAAAGTGTAACCGTTACTGTTACAGTTACAAAAAAAAACAGTAATGCCGCTATTAAAAAAAAGTTACAAAAAAAATAATTGCAACTGTAACGGCGTATAAGTTACGAGTTATACTTTCAATCCTTGATTTTCAAAACTTCAAATGAGATGACTAAAGCCAGGTTCTGATGTACATACACTGCCGGTACTGAAATTTTATAGTTCACGTTACATATATATACATTATAGATTTATTATACTACTAACAGTACCTGGGTAGACATCAATTCGATATCTACGGACTGATCATGTGTCTGTCTGGATATATCAGAACAGTTCAAAGAACGCATTATTGTAACGATTTGTGAAGTTGCAGGGTTCCGATCGCCTTGTATTTCTTGATTTTTGCTGCATAAAGTGAGGCCTTTACTGAAAGAATGAATTTCATGTTCAAGACAAATTATCGTGATTGTCTCGTAGAGTGTCTCAGATATGCGTATGTCTATCACTAGCGAAAGTGTCAGTAAAGCAGATGAGAATCTGAATTAATTAATACATTGATTTTGGCATTCTGAAATCTTTAATTTCCATTTAATTAGAAAGCCTTAATGATACGGAAATTCTATATGCAAGGCGCGTGTCTAATAAAAAAATCCATTACTAACAATAAGTATTATATATAATGCATTGTTGATGCAAACGTGCGAAAAATTCCTGATTCGTGCGAGCGTAATCAATATACGATTGACATATTATATAAATTATTTTAATTTTTAAAAATTATTTGTATTATCATATATGTAATATATGTAATATATATTTTATTTAGATCGCAATCTTGAATTAATTGGAACAAATATATATCGTATGAAAATGAGCGTGTAGTACGTGGTAGTGATGAAAATAAGAGCATCGATTGATTACATTGACTTTACAATGCCTTATTAATTTCCTACATATAAATATTTATTTAAATATGATGTAAAAATTATTTTCTACAATTTAAAGAATGTACACTCACGTTATATTCATCAGTCCCGCGAGCGCGATTAAATCTGTGTGGAAATAATATTAAATATTTATTTAACTTATTCCGATAGATATTTGACTGTTGAATTTTTTACGAACCCATGGAAGATTTTTGAATTAATCATCAATTCATATAAAGACGTGTTTTGTTCAACAATGAAATTGGCACAGCTATAAATATATTTTTGTCTGTATTGTTCCTGTTCAGCTTTCTCTTTCAATCATAAAAATCATTCCCATTCATTCCTATTCATTCAGTTAAAGATCAAAACATCAAAACTTGTCACGAATCTCTATCATCCCATATTTAGCCGAACATGACTCTCAAGAATCGATCTTGTATTTAGTTATTGTTAATAATTCTATTTCATCTCTGAATTCTGATTTGATCTTTCAATCTTTAATATCTTAATCTCTAGTAGAGAAAGTCATAAAAAGAAAGCGATGTTAAATCCAATTTACTTCAGTCAACGTCAACGATACATTTTCAACAATATATTTTAATATTAAATGAATTTTTAAAAAAATATTAAATAAATATTAATATTAAATAAAATGATATTAAAAAATTATATTTTAAATTAAAAATAGGTTGATCAATATTAAATAATTTAAAATTTTAATGTTTTTTGACGATTAAATGATATTTATACATATCACACCAAACAAATAAAGAGTCTTTGTTTTATTAATTTATTAACTGAAGTTAACAGATTATTTATAAATTACTACAGAATGTTTTATTAAAGATTTGACAACATAATTGCTGAACGGAAGATGTTTTTAAAAAAATGTTATTACCAAATATTATACCTCCGATAAACATAAGCGAATAAATCTTGTAATAATTGTTAATCAATTTGCGTTTATTTCGTGGAGCACTCAAAAAAAGTTTCAAATAAATCTTTACAGAGGATAAAATATGCAATTTAACGCGAAGAAGACGTTTTTAATCTTTTGTCGATGCCCCAAATTGTATTTATGTCGTGTTAAGTTTTGTCTTCATGTAACAATATTTTTATTCTCATTCTAATAAAACAAAATAAATTACTGGATATCTAAACTCTAGTTATCTTAAATTAATTAATATTTTGTTTAACACTTTTATTTTTTTTAGAATATCACTTTTATTGCTGAAAATAATGTTTTAATCATTGTCACAATATCGAAACATTATTAAATATTTGACAATGATAACAATATGGATAAAATAATATAATCATTTTTACTACTAATTTCACAACTGAAATGAGTTAAAGTTTAATCTTTGATGAAACTTCGAACGTGAAATATTTGTGCCTAATGCAATCTCAGTAAGCACTTTTTTCATCCCGCTGATGATAAAATTACGACAGGCACAATCAGAGTGATGGCTCTTTTTGCAGAGTCTGTCTGGATATAAGAGTGCAATACTTATATAAAGCTGAAATGAAGATGTTTCCTATTCACTTTTACCTTTCTCATAAAGGCGTGCACAACGCAAATTTTCCGGCCGTCAAGATCAACCTCAACTACTTATTATTTTGTATATGCGGTGTCAATCGTCGAAAAGAATTTCATTCGCAAGTGAGTTACAAGATTTATTATATATATTTACATATACATTTTATTATTATACATATATTATTATATATCTTTATATTTTATAATTGAGAGAAAATTAATAATTATAAGAAAAGTATTCACATAAAATTTATTAGAGCACTTATAGAAATTTACATTAACTTCTCTGTTTTTCGACACACTTAATCCATGCACAATACACCCGTCGCCTAGTCAGTGCACAAGCTTTATTATTGCCTATAAAAGAAATTTTTGACTGGTCTCTCAATCATGTATGCGCTGTTCCTTTCATATTTTAATCACTGACAACTCGACGATCTTTTAAAACACTTTTGAGTGACCCAAACGGATGGTAATAATTGCCTTGAATTAATTGTTTTGCATGTGCATTGATCAAAAATGTTGAAAAGCAAAATGATTCTCACTTAGATTCAAGATTAAAATAAATGAAAATTTCTATTGATGTGTAATAAATTTTATACAGATAATTATATTTGTTAATTTTTATCAGTAACGTTATATAAATGTTAAATAATGAAGGTGCTTACAAGTCATTTCGTGATTCTTATCCATATATAACGTTAACATTAGTAATATTTTTTGTAAGCAAAGCATGCATTTTTTTAGAGATTATCAGTTACAACATTACATTATTCGTCGGAGAGATCAAGACTTTTTACATAAACGAGTATTTTTAATAAAATCAATTTGATAAAATAGTTTTGTCAGTGCTTTTCTTGAATGTATAGGATATTAAAGCCGCGAGTAAATTGCAACCGACAGAGAGAAGATATATGAGATGCGAATGTGAGAATCAGTGTGTGACAGTGAGAAATGATGATTGCGCGTTTCATTACATTCTCAGAAGGAAACGTGTACACGTGTGAATATATGATATACATATACGTGCAAATAATGAACCACATGATGGTACAGATATATACTTGTTGGACATGTAAATAGATATACGGATGTCGTAAAATTTGACTGTTATTCTTCCTTAAGTATCTGACGATAAACAGTCAAATACATCAAATGCAAGAAATCAATTGCAGAATTTTCCCCACTTAGAATCTTAGCAACAAATTTTGTCATAAATAAATAAGTAAATAATAAATTTTTTATAATGTTTTTAAAATTGAAAATTTGTGTTATTATAGTTTAAAATTTAGGTTTAAAAATATTGGGTTTAGACAAATTATTATGTCACAATAAAAAAATGTTTTTTAATTACGACACAGCACGACATAAAAAAAACACAAAAAAGTTTCCATAATAACTACATTTTTACGAAAACTCCAAAACAAAAGTATTGAAGTTCAAAGTGCAGTATTTTAATTTTCTTTTATTATGTGGAATAAAAGTTTTAGATCAAAGTAGAATTGTTTTGCTCATTCACACGCCGCGATAGTAAAAGTTATTTCGCTTGTCTTCCGCACTTCACGCAGAGATACAGAAAAAAATTATTATTTTCGTTGCACACACTTCATGACATTTAGCTTCGCAGATTAGACGTTACGAAACGCACGAAGGAATAAGAAGAACTTGCGACATGCTTGGATTCTATCATATTCGAATAAAATTACGAATGCAGTAATATACCAACAACAAATTTCTTCTGCATTAAATTGTGTCACTTGTACTAATATTAATATAATAATCATTAATACTCCTTAAAATTCAGGCGATTTTTCTGTATTTACATTGTGCTCATAATTAAAGGGCTTGCTGCAACAATGGGCTAACCCATATTTTGTAAGAAAGGAGAAAATAAACTGTGAACATTAAAGTGATGTAAAATATATCTATTTTCTACCAATGTCACATATTTTGCTACATTAGGAATTAGCTCGTTGTTGCAGCAAGCTCAATTGTGGAATTCATAATAAATTAAGTATCAAGTACAATTTACAAAAAAAAAGTAATAATTTATTCACAATTTATTTATATTTAGTGAACATGAGCTATAAAGAATTGTGCTTTTTAATAAAATTCTTGATAATTTAATTAATTTAAACCGAAAGAAGTAATTTTTTATAAAGATATTTTCTTAATATATATTTCCCAATACAATACACAAAAAAATTATTAATTAAAAAATTTACTTATTTAAAATTAATAATTAAAATAATTAATAATTAAAATTATTTAAATAATTATTAAATGAATAAATTTTTGTATTTATTTTATTTCAAAGATACCGTCAAAATGATTTTAGATTATTATTTTAAATTATAAAAAAATCGGCATAATAATAAATTGTTATCAAAATGTACTGCAGTTAATAATTTTTTTGTTACGCAATGATCAGACTTACAAATGTTCAGATTTCAATAAACAAAAATTTTGAAGCAAGAACTTTGTAAGAATTTTTTCTCTACAATTCACAAACACAGTGAATTATGAACTTTAGGAAAATTATCAAAATCATTTATTTATCAGCGTTCAGCTTAGTGTCGTATTTTTTTCCTATCCGTTTTATTGACATCCGCAGTATTGACATCCTTTCGATAATTACGGTACTTAATTTTCTACAGCACTGTATGATGGTAAAGACAGGTGCGTGAAGAGTAAAAAAGAGAAAAGATAGGAATCGTAGGGGGAGATGATACAGAGAGAAAGGATAAATAATGCTCGTATGTGCGCAAAGTATCTATATTAAATGTCAATGAACGGGAAAATATTTGAAAAATGTGTACATTTTGTTGTTTCGTGCAATTTAACAGAAAATATTTTCCTGAGAAAATATATCTTATACGCTTTGATGGTTACTTAAATTAACTCGTAAATCTTTATCGTAAGACGAATTGCCTTATTAAAAGATTTGCGGCCAATTCTCTGTTTAAACAATTATAAATTTTTTCTCTCAACCGCGATGATATTATTTCTTGTCGATATGCAAGAAGCCCACGGACAATGCATGAATTATTCCGTGAAAAAATAGAAAAATCGGCAAAGAGTAAATTAGAAATCCATCGATAAGTTGCACTTGCACAATTTTCACTATCAAAGGCAATTAATAAATGAATTCCCATTTCACCGACTATCGTACTTCATACGGAGCAATTTGGAGTCGCCGACTGCAGATATTGTGTCGCGATTGTACGTCGCAAAGTTTGTAAAATCCGAGTATCGAAAACAGATAACACAATGAAAGATTTCAGAAATAAATATTTCTACCTCAATAATATATAAATATAATATTTCAAAACCGATATTAAAACGGCATATTTCTTTGAAACATAAATTGTAATATTCCTGATGGAAGATTTCGAAAAACTGCATCTTCCATACATTTGAAACTCGTATCGTTGATGAGCGAGGAAGAGAGGCTGATTAGCATCGAAGCGCTAATTTGATTTGCGGAAATTCCAAATGAATCGAGAATTATTGTTTCAATTTACCCACACAGTACAGTAATTTGCGTTTGCCAAATTACAATAACAAACGAAAAGTGAAACGCGAAAATCCTCTGCATATCGCATACATCACATAGCAGCATTTATTGATATTGACATAAGCATCAATTATTTGTGTGTACACGTGTGTAAAGATTACGTTGAATAGCAATGACGAAACGTAATTTTCTCATGGATATAATAGTTACAGAACTAATTGTCAATCTTTGCTCTATTTTAACTTTTATGTGCCGATTTTACAATAATTCTTTGCCGTTATGTACTTTTTACATTTCTGAGTATTACGAAATATAATTTCTTCTCATTTAAATAAAAAAATCTTCTTAAACGAGTTTATCTTGCCACACCACATGTGTTCAAAATTTTAATTTGATTTGACGTAATGGAAATCTTTAATTAACACAAACCAGTCATTTCCTTACTATTGTAACAATTAAACACAAACTTTTTTTCCATATTTGTTTTCATAATTTAATCCGTCGATAAATAAAATTCAAGAAAATTTTTACTTCGTCGATTATTATAAAAATCTTCCGTTTTTACAAACTTGCAGAATGTGATTTATGAGTTATAGTACCAAAAGTTTGTAAAATTCGGCTATCGAAAACAAATAACGCAATGAAAGATTTCAGAAATAAATATTTCTACCTCAATAATATATAAATATAATATTTCAAAAAATCAGAAACTTAGAATGCTATTGGCTGAAATGGAGAAAAATTTAATGGAATTTATCGATAGATAGATTCCGCAATAGGTCTCACGATCCGTACGTTTATACACGTCTTCAACGTGAATCCTGACATGCAAGCGTGTGCCTGTCGGTAGCTCTATATAGCCCGGCGCAGCGCGACTTTCACCTTTCACATTCGCTGAAGCACGATTCCACTGTTGACTTCTCGATCCTCTACCCTACCTATCCGACGAGACACGAGTGCACGAGTGCGGGAAACTAAAGGTACAGTGCGCGACGATTCGGGTTTCACTAAGCAGATTAGTGACATAAAACTGACAATGAGGCAAAGATTTACGGTGCTTCCCCGCAAGTCACAACATCGGATTAATGAAAAGTGACCGTAACATCCCGAGTTTGCGTAATTAGATAATGATGCTCGTTTAGACGCTGGAAGGTTTGTCAAATGGAAAAGAACGAGCAAAACGGTAATTTTGTCAATTCTATGTTCTTTTCATAATCATCGTGCTTCTCCTCTCATATTTTTATCTATCTAATCATTTATCTGTGTAATCTATCTAATTAAATCTTTTTTGTTTCACACAAAACCGTAGGCAAGCGCGAACAACATACGCATATTTATGACAAGGTATATGTGATGATTCTGTGTGATATTAATGAAAATTAATTATGGAAGTTTTATATATGGATAAAAAAATATTTCAACATCCGAACAAGCAGAAATACGAGATGAATGAATACTCATAAATTAATAATCCTACGTATAAAATAATCTGGAATTATAAGACATTTCAGATAAACGTACATTTATTAGAGTTTAATTATGCGGCATAATCCATATACAATCGTTTCTAAGAAGATATTACACGCTAATAAAATTCTACACATAAAAAAAGAAGCGAATTACAGTAATATAGAGATATAGTTATATAGCGAATTATAGTAATAAAAACTATATATAATATAAATAAAAACATTTTTTTAATCGCAGTTTAAGATTGAACGTTATTTACACGCTAAATTTTCTGCTGAAGATCTGTCGAAATAATTGCGTGCGGTTCTTTCCTTTTTTTTCTCTCTACAATGAAGTCTTGATTGTTCCGTCAATTACGGTCCAATTATATAAAACCACTGTATATATTCTTCGGCGACAATGCTTTCAAAATTCGCGATAGTCGAGGTAAGGCAGACGTTATTTCATGTACCTTGCGCGTTTCGCAATCGTCGACGCAAATTTTCGTTAATCCAAAATACGCAAACTCAGACCTCAGGAGAAATCACAACAATCGCACACTTTCGTTCTTCACCTCATTATATAAGTCATCTCGTCGCTGTACCATAGTGACGTCAAATGTCGAAAACTGCGATTACACTCACAACGATCATTTTCTGCTTCTGACGCGAAGACCAACATCTATCGCATTAAAGGCTCAATCCTTGGATGTATTCTCTCATTTTCAGTTGTGTCGCTGACCGTTATAACATATCCTGAATTCGATTTCGCGAAACGATTATTTCTGTTCGTCCGAACTTTCGTCCGAAATCGCGTGACTATTGACAGAGAAAGGTAGGGAAAAAAAGAAGTTCGGTCATTAATTTAAATAAGATTTACATTCTAAGGATGGGATTCATCGCGGCGATTGTTATCATCGCTCTTTCGGATTCAGCAATATGCAACCAAGATTTTCAACGGTCGCGCAATGTTTGGGAGAATCCCGAATACAAATTCTGGTAAGAACAAGATGTAAGAATAATTCGACTTCTCCTTAAACTCAATCGAGGGAAAAAAGAGAAAGGCCGTATTGTCGTGATGTTAAATGCAAGTTTGATCATAAACTAACTGTACAGAATACATTAATCAATCACGCTCGTGAGTTTAACGAGCTATTACACTAATATGCAAAAAAGCTGCGATCATGCACAGTTAATGTCTCCGCTTTTGATTCACACATTAGAATTATTATTCTTAATTCGCAGCACAATAAATCATTTTATCGTGATATTCTAGACATAAGTTGCTTCACGTTCGACACTGGAAACACGTTCAAACTGGTTTTAATTTTCGCTTATTCTAACTAAAAATAATTATTTTTTTTTCATAATTATTAAAAATCAATGCATACTCAATTAATTCTTAAAAATTATATTTTTAAAATTATACTTTTCTTTGCCATTTCTTAAAACTACTTTTTTATATTAAAATTAAAAAAAAACTAACAAACACATAAAAGTAAACGATGTTTATAGCGTGTGTTTGCCAATTTTTTATTATAATTGTTTTCCAATTCTATTTTTTAGTGTAAGTTTTAAAAAAGGAATCTATAGTATTTTTAATTAATACAATATTTTAGTTTGTATATATTATAAATGGTAAATAAAATATTTTTTAGTAGAAAAATCCTACCGTTTACGTGATATAGAATTCAAGAAGTACTTTTGCAATCATATTTTTCATTGATGCCATCTTTATGGAGATTGATTTTTCGACGAGTAAAATACTATTTTTACAGTTCGTCCGCAGTTGGATTCAAATACAACTTTCAATACGCAGCAGTCGCTTGAAAAATCTCAAAACTTGCAGTCGGGAATAAACTCTCAACAGAACGACATAACGAGCCACCGCGTGCGGCGGCCGTCACTGTTTCTCACCCCGCCGAAGATCAGTTACTCAGCATGCGGGCAAACTTCCTCTAAGTCATATCCTACGCCAAGATCGAGTAGCCAACAACAGTCATCAATGTGTGGGCGGGAAAGTTTTAAAGGCTCCACATATAGTAATTTTCGGTTGAATCAACGTCAATATTCATCGAGCCTTTCGTCCCTGAATATTCCAGAAACGTCGTCCACTTCCTTCCCGTCAGAACCTCGGCTTTTTTCAACGACTAGTGCAAGACCGCTTCGTTCCGCCTCCAGGACTGGCAAGCAATTGGGCGGATTTACGGGTGGAAATGAGGGCATTTCTGGAATTTCTGGAGTTGCATTCGCCGCATACTCACCCCCACGAATCCCTGTTCCAAATGCGATAGAAATGACCACTTCTTTGATTGGAATTGACGCGGACGGTTTAGTCGATATACGGATTTATGAAAATAAATTGGGTACGTTGTCTTTTGCTAGTCAATATAATATAAACGCAGAGTACACAAAAAGAATAATATGCATTTTTTAATTAAAAAAATCACTCAAGCTGGCGGTGATCTCAATCATCCTCCGCATATCCATAGCCTTGACGTTGAATGCAGTAAGACAATGATGACGATCAATATCGAATTCAATCGCGCTTTCGACGGCATTATTTATTCTAAGGTAAGTGTAAAACTCTCTTGCTCCACAAATTATCAATAATAATATCGATTTTACCCAATTTTCAGGGATATTACACAAATCCGGAATGTATATACGTAAAACAGAATTCCGGCTCAACGCGGTATTCTTTCACTGTGAATTTAGACTCCTGCGGAACTCAATTCATTAACGATTTCGAGGGTGCGACTGGTCAAGCATATTTGGAAAACGTCCTGGTATTACAAGTCAGTGTCGTACTAATTAAATTTCTTAGTTTGATTTTCCACAATTTTTATAAGATTTTATTCGCTTCCTTTAGCTTGCACGAAAAATCACATAGTTGGATTTACATACGGAGAGAATTTGCTTTTCAAATTTACTCAGAAAATCATGTTAATTAAGGGAAAACATATTTCGACAAATTTTATATAAATTTTTCTATTTTTTTACTGTGCACTACAATAAATTTGGTGTAGTATATATTTAAAAAAAAAGTAAAATTTACATAAAATTCGTCGAAAACTATGTTATCCCATGATTAACATAATTTTCAAATTTTAAAATAAAATTCTCTCCGTGCAATTATTGAATCATTAGATTATAATCATTTTAAAATAGAAAATTTTTATTGCTAAAGAACGAACCGGGTATACAAGAAGTCTGGGATGCAGTTCGAAGGGTACGATGCCTCTGGGAAGGGAACATTAATAAGGCCTTAACAGTGAATCTTTCAATAGATATGTTGAATCAAGAGATAGTTACCTTCAGTGGCGATACCGCGACAGCCAAACTGGATATCCAAATCGGCAAAGGACCCCTTGCACCCGCGGCCGATGGGCTCGTAAAAATCGGAGAAACAATGACCTTAGTGGTTTCCGTGGAGGGCGATCCTGGTTTCGATCTTCAGGTACACATCGACATTTTGCACACATAGTGATGTACTACAAGTAATTTATGTAATGGAATTACACGTTTTAATACATAGTAAAATAAACAATGTAAATGCGATTAATACATAAATACAAGAGAATAATTGCGGGTTAATAATACTGTGGAACAAAATTTGATCTTTTTTTCGCATCACGAGTGTGAATAGTCATTTTCGACGTATTTTTGCCTGCTGAAAATACATCAAAGAGGCCGAAAACGATTTTTATTTTTCTCAGAATTGTGATGTGATAGGCAATTTTTGCCAACGGATTTGTTTAGCAGACAAAAATACGTCGGAAATGACTATTCACACTCGTGATGCAAAATGGTGTTCCACAGTGTAATTACTCCTTGACGTGTTCCACTTTCAAATTTTAGACACAAAAATTTTGTCAAGTTTTAATTGCAAATAAGAAATATGAATTAAACGATTTATAATATTACTTTCAAGGTGCGCGATTGTTTGGCGCGAGACGAAGCCTCAATCAACATTCTGCAGCTGATCGACGAAAGAGGCTGCATTGTAAAACCGAAGTTGTTTGGTGCCTTTCAAAAAACACTAGTGGATACTGGCACAGGTGCTTCTGTTATCGCTTACGCGTTCTTCCAAGCTTTCAAATTTCCCGACGTTATGGATCTATTCATTGAATGTAATGTCGAACTATGTAAAACTAACTGCGTACCTTGTCCGGAAGCAAATCAAGTAAGACACAAAAATCAATTAAAATTATAATATATTATATATAACACTTATTAACATTATTTGTCTCACTCGCTGAAATTAATATTTGTATGACATATCTTGAAGTTATTAATTGTTTTATGACAATTCGAAAAATTTTTTTGCATAAGAAGTTATAAAATATTTTATAATAGATAATTATAAATATTTAATGATTTTATATTTCACAAAGATTATATTAAAGTGCTGGTTATCTTTTTATATTTATTATACAGGTGTCCCGAAATTCGCGAATCAAAATATCATAGCAAGAAAGTCTTCGAAAAATTAAATACAAAGGTTATTTGTAAATTTTTATTTTAAGCAATAGATTTTAAGATATAAAGGTTTAAATTTAGTCAATTATAGATAGTACTCGCATGAAGTACGCGACCACTATAACACTACGACGCACTCACGGATATGTTTCCGTTTAATCATAATCTATAATTGGCTAAATTGAAACTCTTATATCTCAAAAACTGCTTAAATTAAAATTTACAAATAACTTTTTTACTTAATTTTTTGAAGACTATACTTGCTATGATATTTTGATTCACGAATTTCGGGACACCCTGTATATAAAATAATTTGTTTTAGCAAATTGAACCAAGAAAACGTCGTCGATCAATAACATATGCATCATCTTCAAGCAACTCGGCGAATTCGGTTCTGTTATCGGATCCAATTCGTGTCAGACGGCGTCTCAGAGTAATTATGTTAGACGACTTAAGCATAGCGTCCAGCCAGATTTTGGATAGCATGAAGGAAACGACTGCCAAAGCAACAAAAGAGATCTGTATAAGCAACAATGGATTTTACACAATATTCTCTCTTACATTGGGCACGCTTCTTTCCGCGATCATAAGCGCAGTTGTGTTATATGTTAAATTACAGCGGATCTGCTGAGTAAAGTTCGTGGATTTCTAAAATAATTATATAATGTTTCAATATTATTATTGTAGTAGTACAAATTAAGAAAAGAGTTGCATAGAGAACAATGCGTGCCAGAAATCAAATGATAACTCGAACACTAAGAAGTTATTATTTTATAATTTTGCAATCATTCAAATTGCTAAGAAAATGCTGAAGATCAAAGAAAAACTCGAAATATTTAGATTATTTATTGACAGTATTTGAAAAACCAACAAAAATTTTATGTTATTTATTGTTTTAAATACTTACAAATTAATTTTTAGAAAACATTAATTTTATTGCAAAAAAAACTTTCTATTTAATGTAAGAGCAGAGAAAACAATTACATGTTACATATTATTTTATAAATAACAAAAATATTAGTACAATCCTTAAACAATACTGTACTTACTTTATTAGTAATACTTGAATACCAACAAGATATAGTATTAGTATATTTATTATAATATTAACATTAATATATCTTATGGAATATAAATTTTAAAAATATAATATATTAATCTGGCTCATATCATTAAAAATTAAGAAGTATCCAAAGAAGGGCAAGTGAGCCTTGCACGAAATTAGTGCTAAAATTACATATATTTAAACAATAATCATTGTAGATCGGAAGAGCACACGT